CTAGGTGAGGCCTCACCAAAGCTGAGTAGAGTGCCATGATCACCTCTCTACTCCTGAAGACCTGCCTTGTTGACCTTTTGAAGCATATGAAGCCCTGGGGCCTTGCCGTGTTTCTTCCATGGAGCTGCCTGTTTTCACCCATTTCTCAAGTGCATGGTGGCCCCCACCATCCTTGGAGGAGCCGCGTGCGGGATACCTGCTGGTGAACTCTGCCTATTCCCAGCCTCTCCTGACCATGTAAACAAGAGACTGGTCCCAAACTGTGGCATCTAGTGGGTTGGGGCTTTCCACCACCAGAGAGCTCTGGAGCTCCACCTAAGGCGCCTCTTTGTGTCGGTAGAAACCACATGAACGGCGGCGGGACGGGCTGGGTCTTGAAAGTGGCCCTCAGCCTGCGTTTGTCTGAAGCCGGGGATTTATCCACAGAAACTCGCATGAAAAACTGTGAGGGGGGAGGCTGGGATCTGCAGCTTCCAAGTGCTGGGGGAGATGCTTTAGTTCTCGCCAGCTCAGGCATTATATTGGAGAAGCAGGACGAGGTTGGTGGCTTTGCCCGTGATCCCTCTGAGGTCTGCAATAGCCTGTAACCCCACATTTCACCACGACCACCGTGATCTCGGCTCTGACGACCCGTCCCGAGAGCCCAGCTCAGGGGTGTTGCTCAGCTCAGCTCATCGAGAAGCACGCTTGATGCGGCCAGTCCTGCCTGGCACAGATTCGAATTTAAGCCTCTGGGCCCTGCTACTGCAAGAACTGGAAAAAAAAAAAAAAAATCCCTAAATGCACCTCGAAATCTCCCTTTACATGTTCAGCAACTGTGCTGTGCAGGGACTTGCTTGTTAAACCCAACCCAACCAGGACACGGCACATACCAAACCAGGTTACGGCACATATCAAGCCTGATGTGGGAGTTGAGAAGCAGAAGGAGACCAAGAGCAGCCCAGGCTGCCGGCAGCAAAGACCAAAAGCTGCTGGGAGCCCCCTAGCACCTTGCATTTCTACCATCCTCCATCGTCAACACATCCACATTTTACATGGGTTTAAAGACAAGCTGAAAGAAATAATACAGCTCTTTAAGGGTTTCACTAATCCCCTTCTGTCTCTCCTTATATCTCTGGGCTCATAACAAGGCTGCTTCCTGCTTTACTGTTTTTATTAGTTCACCCTTTCATTCACTTGCTCTTTTTTTTTAATGTTTTTCTTTTTCGCCTTTGATGGACTTCATTTCTTTGTCAGTTTTTTACAACTGCTGAGGTTCCAAAGGAATACTTTTTATGTTCTGTTATACTTATTTAAATGTGGGTCTCTTTCTGTTATGTTGGTTTGGATTTTGTTTTAAATATCCTTGAGAAAAGACTTGAATCCTGGTGTTTAAATACCTGTGAATTTGATCCTGCGCTGCTTTCACAACTATTTATATTATCTTGACTACAAACCTGCTTCTGACCGATAAGAACGAGCCTGCAGCATTTTTTATCTTAGTTCCTAAAGATCCAAGGAAATATTTGTTTGTTTGTTTGTTTTTCTGGGTTTGTCCAAAAGAACCTGCGACCGAAGGACCTGATGTGATTCTGAAGATCATGTTAAATCCTGTGAGATAATAAAACGCCCTTATTTTTCAGAAATAAGCGTTGAACAAATCTGTTGCTTTCATGTCATGTTCCATTTTTGTCATGTATTATAAGCTGGACATGTATTATATGTATTGTATATGTATTATAAGATGGACACATAACTTTTAGCCCCGGTAAGCGAAGCATCGTGCTGGGCTTTGCTTGACACAGAAGGTTAGATGGGGTTTGTTTTGTCTTTACGCTGGGGAAAGCAAATACTTGAAGGCAAGTGCTGTGTTCTTCCAGGGAATTTCTGAAGGTATTGTCACAGCACACAGGTCTCCGTGACAAAACAAAACAAGGAATACTTTGATCAGCTACTTAACGTTTCTCAGATTTTTCCTTGTGTCTCTTGAAAGCCGAGATCAAAGTAACTGTAAGCTCCCAGATAGGAAGAAAAATTGCTCAAAATTGCATAGGTTCTTTTTTATTTTATTTGAAGTAACGGACAGATAGGGAGAAGGAACAAGGGGAAAATGGAAGTGGCTCTGAAAGATAAATGGCAGAAAATTTTCATATTTGAAAGAACAAACCCGTTTGGGTTTTTTTTTGCTTATAGTAGTTTCAGAAGTTACAGCAACGTTTTACACTGGAAAAAGTAACCATGTTAACATTCTTGTAAGAAGAGATTGCCTCAAATAAAACTTCAGAGGCAGTCGAATGAAAGAAGAAAATAAGGTTAAAATATGAAGCTTAATATCACCGGGGGGCATCTGGTGTGTCAGTCAGATGAATGAGGTAAGCTGATTTATGCCCTACAAACCTTAGCCAAGGTGTTTCTGATGCCGAAGAGGGTTTAAGAGTCTGCTGGCCCCCCACCAATCCCCGCTAACTGCAAGGGAGGTTTAGCTGAGGCAGGACTGCAAGCAGGTGTGTCGCCATTGCCTGCGAACACTCGCAGCTCCCGAGCTGTTTATTTTTTGCCTTTTCCCTTTCTATTGATTTTTGGTTGTATTTTCTTAGCCGGCTGTAGTCGGCAAATGACCAAGTAATAAATTTATATTTCTGAGCTGTAGAGAGGATTTGATTTAGCAAATAATTTTTACCATTTGGAGCAGTTTACAATGAGTTTTCCAGTTGCCTTTGCCGTTATTTTCTTCCCTTTGCCATTATTTTCTTCCCTTTTATGCCATCTTGCTGCATTGTCATGCTTGTTGTCTTTGATTCTCGGGAAGCGATGCTTTAGTGGTGACAGTGGGATTTTGCCTCATTACAGGCTTCCTTGCCAGATGAGTTCCCTTAGTGCCAATTGCTATTCAGCAGTGGAGGCTGCAATAGGTCAACCTGTACTTTTTGCTAGTCATTCTTTTTTTTTTTTTCTTTTTTTTTTCACGTGCATTACTTCTGTCTAAAGCACTCAGAGGCAAATTGTGCTCCCGCCTCGGTAATCGTCGCTCTGCTACTCCAGGGGACTGTGTGGGGGGACGCAGATATTCTCTGGATGTGTGGAGCTCCACAGGGACCACTAACCTGGTGGCAGGAGGCATAGGGACAAGGCCATGGGAGATCATCAAAGGCTAAAGTTTCTAACTTCTTAGCTGCCTCCTCTCCTAAGGGACAAATTGCTTCTCCACCTTTTGCATTTTTCCTGCGCTCTATATTTAGCCCAGGTGCAGCGCGGAGATTTTGTCTTCCAGAGCTAACGCTTTGACCGGTTGACGCAAACCTACGCGGGGTGGTAACAGCCTCTGCCAAGTGCTCTGAGAGCAAGTACACTGAAAATTGGGCAAGCTGAGTACTGCCAGAATGCCCACCGTGCCTGCCCTTGCTCCTTTCAATCCATCCTTGCCCCCAGGACTGGTGGTTGTGTCGTACTTGGGCACCGGAGCTCACAAATCTGGTGTGACCCACGGGACAATCAGAGGGCGAGCAAGAGCTGCATCTGTTTGTGTTTCATTGAGTTGGCTGTTTGACTGCTCAGATTTAAAAATAAAACTCGGCTATATTTTAATATGAAGAGGAGAAAAAGAGTCTCAGTATGTTGACACAGGGCTGGGAAGAGTTTGGTCTTGATGATCTTGGAGGTCTTTTCCAGCTGAAACTATTCTGTGATTCTCTGATTCTGTGATTCTCTGATTCTGTGATTTTATGATTCCGTGAGTCACATTATGATTATGTGATTCTATGATTCTGTGATTGTCTGATTCTCTGATCTCCCTGCTGGGTGGAAGTAGCTGTGTGACATAGCACAGCAGCTGCAAAATAATTTCGAACTGCAACTTTAAGCTGTGTCACTCGTTGTTTAATTAAACATTAAGATACACGTGACAGGGCTGGGAGTTAAACTTAGGCTGTTCTCTGAGGCACAGTGCTGAATCATCTCCTTTGACTGCTGGTGTTTTAACCCAATACGACCTAGGGAGACTGCAAGGTCATTTCCCAAGAAAACACCTCAAACCTGTAGTGTAAAGCCAAACGCAAGAGACCTTCGATCACCAGGTGATCTCTAAGTACAAGTCATATCTTCACAATGTGTTGCTGGTGTACCTAATTATAAATTTGTAACAAAATTCTCCGTTAGCGTCATTCCTATGGTGTCGACAAAGCTTTTCATGCTGGGAATTTCAGCTAGTTGCGAGGTTGGTTTGGTGTAAGTGGTACTAACAGCATTTTTTGAAATAAAAGTCATCCTGAAATATAACTAAAATGATGGTTTTAAAAGCACACAAAGGTATAACTGATGCACATCATTGCCACAGTATCAGTGCTACCCTGCTGGTGTAATTGAGAACAGAGTTTTGCAGCGTAGCAGTTTCCTTTCCACCTGACGCCCAGGTTTGAGTCAGCGTTTACCAAGAGGACGTTAAACTGGTTGACATGGAGCATTGGTGCATCCTGCAAAGATGGTATTTTGCAGATGAAGGGCTGTACTGGAAGTATTGGTTTGGAAATCAAGGTTTAGCATCTCTGCCTGTACGTGAGGAAGAAAATTCATCTTGCAGGGGCCGGAGTTTCCTCAGCCCAGAGCCCAAGGCAGCTCCTATTCCTCTGCAAGGAATAAAATTGCCTTCAAGAAACGAGTGTTTGCTCCGTTGCTTTCGGTTTTGCTGCCTCTGAGAATACTTGTGGTTCTTTACTTGGTTGCTTTGCAAGAGCTCTAAAGCGAAGGCAGAATTCATCAGTGACGCTAAGGAGAAATGGGAAGAGGTGAAGGGAGAGATTATGTGAGCCCTTTTAATACAAAGAACTGCAGTATGAGTTAAGAAGATTATTTTCTCTTTGGCTCCTCTGACAGGTCCCCTGTTACATAAGTGTTCTGCTTTTTCGAGTTAGGTATTGCCTAAACGTCAGTCACAGCCATTTCCTGAAATAGGAACACTGAGTTTATTTCATTTGGGGGAGGGTGTTAAGTATTTTCCATTTCAGAATAATAAATATATAGGATATGGGATCTCTTCTACGTAAATGCTACATTCTGGGAATGTACAGGAGTATGTTTAGATATACTACAAACTTCTTAGTCATGATTTTAAGAGCAAAGCTTTGATTTTTGTCCGGACATTGCTACGGCAGGCTTTCATGTCAAAAGAAACCCAGTGAAGTTGTTGATTCATTGGGAAAGGGGTGAAATGTCATACCCTTAACTACATCTTTTCATCTTCCAAGCTCCTCCTAGAGAACTGACAGAAGAAGAAAAACAGCAAGTTCTCCATTCAGAAGAATTCCTGATATTTTTTGACCGGACAATACGTGTAATTGAGCGAGCGTTGGCTGAGGATTCAGACATCTTCTTCGACTACAGTGGCAGAGATGTAGAAGAGAAAGATGGGTCAGTTTGGGGTTTGTTTACTTTTTAAAAATAACCTTTATAAGAAGAATTCCAGTGCCAGGAAGCCTTAATTTTAAAGCTAAACTACACATTTTTATAATTAAGAAAAGTTGAAAAACTCGCTGCGAAGACCTGAGTCACTTTGCCTAAATTATTTTGTCAAATAGCTTCTTGCTTTATTGCTCTGGGTTTTGTTCCTTGACCTCTTATGCAGGTGGTTTAATGTCCTGTTCCATTTTTCGAGATGAATTTTCAAATTCCAAAGAAAAAACATCAATGATTTAAATAGATAGATGTATGGGCACACGTGTTTATGGAGGTGTGCACGTGTGCGTTCCAGTGCGCTTGTATCGTGTTACTTTTACAAATTCAGATTGCTCTGGTCTGTATTCTACTGCTGCCGTACGTCTGTAATGGGTCCCACTGTCCTGTGCATCCTGGGGGTGAAAATGATCAGCTCCCAAAGCATTTCTAATCTAAATACATAAGGCAAGAGGTCGCAGGTTGTGTATTCAGCAACTGATAGAGACGTAGAAGAAGTAAGAGCTGTTGGTACGAGAGGAAATATTTAGATTTTAACAGCTGCGTATCTGTTGAAGCCTCATGGCAAATTAGTAGCTGTGTTGCACTGAAGTTATTTACAGGAGCATCAGCCCTGTGACCAGCTGAATGCAGGGTTGGACCAGCACTGAGCTTCAGCCCATCCCAGTGGTGCATCTGGGAGGACATGCTGTGACTTGAAGCTTTCAGGAATCAAAAAGAAGAGAGATGTGGTTATAGCTTGGAGGTGAAGATCCCGTTCGGTCCCCACATGTTGCCTGATCTAGTCGAGAGGTGGCGTCCCTGATGGCAGGGAGGTTGGATCTGGGAGGAGATGCTGTGGCTTGAAGCTTTCAGGAATCAAAAAGAAGCGAGATGTGGTTATAGCTTGGAGGTGAAGATTAGGCAGAGGCAGAGCTGAATGCCAGGGCCAGGTTCAGTCTTCAGAGACGGAGGTGGCTCAGGGTGACCCAGAAGAGTCAGGAAGGCAGTGGGAGATTAAGAAAGGTGGTTTTGTGACAAAAGTGCACAATTTGTTCCTTGGCGCAGATTATCAGCAAGATAGTCGGTGAGAGCAATGAAATCAAAGTAGTCAGAAACTTTTACATTGCTTTTTGCAGCGTTTGAACGCCGGTACTTCAAAAAGTTATCACTCTGTTTGAATTCACACAGAGATGTTCAAGCGGGAGCCAACCTTTCCTTCAACCGTCAGTTTTACGATGAGCACTGGTCGAAGCATCGTGTCGTCACCTGTATGGATTGGTCTCTTCAGGTAAGACCTGAAGCTGGGAGGTTTCCCTATTGCTTCCAACTTCTCCCTAAAAAAATAGGGCCAGCCTCGGTTTGCCCTCCATTCTGCAGAGTACGATGTTATTTCAGCGCCCTGAATGAGTGAGCGCATGTTTCCTGATGAGAAAGAGCAGTTGGCAATAATGAAGAAGTCATATTTTTATGCACATTATTTGGTCTTCCAAACAAGAACATTGTGTTAAGATTATCAAACCTACTGAGAGGAAGGAGTCTTTACTTTTTCTCCCTCCATTCCCTCAGCATGTGGAAATTCTTTTAGGACAGAAGGTTTAAAAATTAAAACCAGTTAAAAATAGTTTACTAAATACGTAGTGTTTCATTTAATAGTTACACATATAAAATAAAAAATAAGATTAGCCAGGAATAAAATTTATTCTTCTAATATACTAAAACTCAGAAAGCATCTGAACAGCTTGAAAAGACGTCTTTTGAAAAATGCTAGGTTCTCTCCTGAGGCAGTGGGAAGGGAGGCTGGAGCTGGCAGGGGGGGGCGTGCTAAAGCGGCATGCCTGGGACATATCCAGTTTTTCTGCACCGTAAAACATTGTCATATTGTGAAATAAAACTGATGATAGAGCTGCTTGAGCTTCCCAAAACCAGTACAGCCTCATCAGCAAAGTACAGACACCGGGTTAATGAGTTACCCTGTTGGAGAGCTGGGATTAGTGTACACATGTCATCACAGGTCACAGAATCACAGACTTATTGAGGCTGGAAACGACCACTGAGATCATCAAGTCCGGGCTGTGACCCAACACCACCACATCAGCCAGACCAGGGCACCAAGTGCCACATCCAGCCTCTCCTTAAACCCCCCCAGGGACGGTGACGCCTCCCTGCCCTGGGCAGAGCATCCCAGGGCCTGAGCAGCCTCTCCGGGAGGAAGGGCTGCCTGAGATCTAACCCCAACCTCCCCTGACACAGTTTCAGGCCGTGGGACCTGGTTTTCCCCTCATCCTCTCTGTTTTATCCCCATCAGCCTGTTCCTCGGTTCCAGCCTGGAGCAAAGCAGCTGCTTTCTCTGAGGAGGAAGCCAGGCAGACTCTGCTCCGTGACCCACCATGCAGATACAACAAAGCTGCTCCAGGAGGACATAGACTTGAAAAACGTGAACACCAGCCAGTCGGACTGTTTGGCCCCAAGCCCAGCCTCAGGCGTGCCCTGGGGTGTCCGGAGTGCAGCCTGGCATGGGCAGCAAAGCTGCTATAGCTGTAGCTCAGCCCAGTGCTCAGGAAGAGCTTTGCTTGGCCTCATCTTAGAAGCTCTTTCTGCATCGTGTTAAACGCATTTATGGCCCAGAGTATAAATGGTGCCCAGGGGCTGGAGAGAGGCGGTGGGTAAGGAGCACAGTGACTGTGCATCCCTCTTTCGCTCCTTTCCCTTGCAATGGCAGCAGGGCTGCTTCCATCCCCTGGGGACTTCTCAGGTACGGTGGCCACCGACTGCACAGAGGACGTGGCAGGGGAGAGGCTGAGAGTCCCGCGGAGCATCGCTGTGCAGGTCTGGATCCAGGTGTGTTGCACAGCAGCCAGCTGCAGAGAGGCTTCTTGTCGTATCCAGCTCGCGCACCGTGCGTGAAATGAAAGATTTATCCCTTTGCTTTCATACAAAATACCAGCTTAACAACAGGTATGCACTGGTGTGATGTGGGTGGCCTTCAAGCACATATGGATTTCCACAGAAATCAAATATAAGCCTGAGGAAACACTTATCTTAGGTTGTTCACTTGTTCAGGGGCTGGAAATTACATGGAATTCTTATCTGATATTTTCCTAACAGGCAGCTCTTACTGTATTCCCAGGGTAGCAAGAAAAAAAAAGCCTCAGAAGAGCACTGCCAAATGTAATTGCTGAGCCCCTGGGGCTCTCAGGCATGTTCTGCTTCCCACCTCTTTGTTCCAGGGTGGCCCCTCCTGCCTTCCCCTCCGTTAACTCCTCATGCTCGGCTCCCTGGCACCCCAGTGGGGGCTCCTTCCTCCGCCCCGGCAGCTTTTCTGAGCTGGGGTGGGCTTGTGTGTGCTGCCACACACCAGTCTGAGAGGAGGGACTTGCCTCCTCTTGCTTTGAGCTGTGCCTTGCGGCAGGAGCCGGGGCTGGACGAGGTATTCCCACCTAACCCCTGTCCCTGCTTCTCACCCACGCCTGCAGGACGTGATGGTGTCCAGTCTGCCACAGGATAGCTTGAACAATCATGGGAACTGCAGAAAACATTGCTCAATTTTCTGCGATAAAGCTGTTGCTGCAAAACAGCCCGGAGGTAAATGGAAGCTTAATCAAACAAAGGACTTCAATGCATTGATTAAACATGTTCTTCTGTTCCCAGTCACATGTAAAATACAGCCCCAAACACGTGGGACCACTGGTACCACTAAAGCGAATCCATCAGCCCCTCAATTCTTTTTCAGAGCAAAGGGAAAATGGCTTAGATGCTTCATCAGAGATCTAAGGGAAAGACCCAACAGACTGAGTATAGAGAGAGCAGGATTGCCTTGCTCTGCCCGTGAGGAGGTAACAGCTCATCTAAAGCTAAGAAAAACCAGTCCCAGGGACAGCCTGGTGTCTCTGCTGGCTCTCAGGCAGCAGCCTCGAGTGCTGTTTCTCACAGCACCACTTGCACGGGGTTTTCAGCTGCAGTCACGGGACATCTGGGCACCTGGGGAGGACTGAAATTCCGTAAATGCAGGTAGATGGGGTGAAGCAGTCTGTGTGCAATGCCAGCGTGGATTTAGGGTGCTGCGCTTAGCTCTGTTTGGTTTAAGAGTCAGAAAGCCCCGCAGTGATGTTGCCCAGCTGGGCATGACCCCGGCGTGTGTGTGAACTTGAAACTCTATTTCCAGTCAGATGCAAGAACTGCGATTGCAAAACCGACCAGCAAGAACTGAGTCAGTGTTTGTTTATGGCCCGACGTGCTGCCAACCAGAACACGTTCACTAAACTTTCCAGGAGCGTGAACCAACGCCAAAGTGCCTCTGAACTGGTGCTTCGGACCTGGTCACACGCCCCAGCTGGCTGCAGCCCTGCTGGTGGAAGAGCTTGTCACCTCTGCCTGCCAAGGTGTCTGCTCTTCACCACTGTGGGCTCAACTGCTCGTTGGGTCCCTGTTCAGCCCAAAGGAGATGCCCTGGCAAGAGCCTGCTGTGCACGCTGTTTGCTTGGGCCTGGGCCAACGTGGGATGCAAAGGTTCAAAGGAGAAGCTGGGCTCGCTGTTCAGGAGTGGTTGTAATCTGGGTTGCAGGAGGGAGGGAAGAGGGGTTGAGATGGCTGAGAGCAGCGGAGGGCAGGCTGGCACAACTGTCTCCAGAGAGGTGGTGTCTCAGGTCGGGGATTAAACCACCTTCAGGTCTCCTTCAGTTCTTGAGGTGGGAGAGGAGGAGGTTGGCCTGCTGCGTGCTCTAAATCCCAAACGGGTGCTAAGTTGTCCTTACGAAACGTGCCGGCAGCCACCGTCTGCCAGGGTGTAGGTACAACCCAGTCAGAGCTGCCCCCGAAATGGGGAAGAGGCCCCTCTGGTGGGCACGTGTCGTTGCTGGTTCTCCCACATGTGGGCCCAAGCTCCTTTGGAACGATGAGCTTGAACAGAAACATCCCCAGCTCCGTGATGTGTGACAAAGTGGGAGAGAAGAGCTGCTCGTGGCAAAAGTTATGGCTGTGCACGTTATTTCTTCCAAATGGAGGAATTCAAACCCCAGTAATAATGATATAAAGGGTGGTGGTGGGTTTTCTTTTTTTGTCTTTACAATGTCCTTTTTTTTTTATTTTAAAAAATGCCTGGTTTGGACCAAATTCACAGCTCCCGGTAGCACTACTGGCAGCTTCTTTGCCCCCCCTTCCTTTACATCTACCAGCTGGGCTGTTTCCCGATAAAGCGGTGAATGCTTTGGCAGGAATTTACCTGGGAAAGGCATCAAGAGAATGTGAAAATCTGATTTTTTTCATATACAATGTGTATATATGTGTATATATGTGTATATCTCCTACTTATTATATATAAACAGAGCAAATGCATATGTGTCCCTATCTGCTGCTATGTATGGGTGTACAAGGAAATATGGATCTGATTATCGAGTGATCATTGCATCGATCTTTCTAAGTCGATGGAATTCGAGGTCAGCCTGTGCTTTGCAAGATGACCTCAGCGTCTTGCAAAATTGAGCTTCTGTGGAGAAAATGTTTTGTTTGCTCTTTGTATCATCCAGAAGAGCTTTCAAGCTGATTCTACGCAAAAGTGAATAGGAAGAGTGCATAAAGAAATAAGAAATAATAGTTTTCAGGTATGCTAAAAAACCCTATGAATTTTGGAATCAAAGCAAGTCAATGCTATGGTCGTAGTGTTCCTATTATCAAAATCAGTTAAGACAACAGTTTGTCCCTGAAGAAATGGTTGAGAAAATGCATTAGAGTTACTCAAGCTTTCAGATTTTTCCTCTTCCTTGCTTTGCATTACTGTTACGAATATCCTGGTAGTCGTCTTTTTTGAAAATTATTTGCAGAAAATTATGTTGCCTTTTTGGTATGTGAGAATAACTGATAGAGAGCAAGGAAGAGGGGCTTTAAGGATGCCGAGGACAAGTAGAATACAGAGACCAAAATGAAGCTGAATACTATGATGGGACTACCATGTATTATAATTAAAACCAGGTATTGCACATTTAGAGTAGATTATTTCTGTCTCAACTGATTTTGCATAGGCATTTCATCAGCCATCTTATTTAATTTGCTTTTCCTTTTCTTTTTTTTTCCTCAGTACCCCGAGTTGATGGTTGCGTCTTATAACAATAACGAAGACGCTCCACATGAGCCTGATGGAGTAGCCTTGGTATGGAACATGAAGTTCAAGAAAACCACGCCGGAGTATGTTTTCCATTGTCAGGTAAGACTGCAGAAGCCGTTGATTTCACGCTAGTCAAAACAGAATTTACTACGTGGTGCATCTTCCCACTCTTTGTATGAAGAGGTTGAGGTTAAAAACTGGAATTTTTGGAAAAAGCACAAGCGGCAGCCGAGTGTTTTCAGAAGGCAACCAGCCTTCTCGAACAACACCAAAAGCCTGTCAGGGCTGCGTGTCATTCTCTGTCTATTTAAAACAGTCTCTGCGAGATTTAGTTTATAAAGCCCTTGCACTTGTGGAGTAACTGTGGTGTACCACTTCCTCACCCAGGCAGCAACATATGCTTTCCCACCCACGCTAGCTTCCTCCCAGCCGCTGCACTCCGTTCTGCTCCGTAGCGTGTTTTTTGCCTTGAAAATGGGGAAGGACACCGTGCCGTTCCGAGCGTGCCTGAAAAGTGGTCTCGTCTGGTGAAAAATGGTCTCGTCTGGTGAAAAATGGTCTCAACTGGTGAAAAATGGTCTCGATTGGTGAAAAATGGTCTTGACTGGTGAAAAATGGTCTTGATTGATGAAAAATGATCTCAATTGGTGAAAAATGGTCTCAATTGGTGAAAAATGGTCTCAATTGGAGAAAAATGGTCTCAATTGGTGAAAAATGGTCTCAATTGGTGAAAAATGGTCTTGACTGGTGAAAAATGGTCTCGAATGGTGAAAAATGGTCTCTATTGCAAGGACTACTCCATCAATTCCTGTTTGACTGTCCTTGAGGTAGCAAACCGGTGTTTCCCTTATGACCACGTTATTTTAGAAGTTGATGGGCAATTCAAAAATAGGTGGGGGTTTTATTTCCATAGGTCTGTTTACCCCTGTGTTGCTTCTTGTGCCTCGTATCGACAGAAACGCTGTGCTCGTTGGCTCTATCGCCTCCATCAAACTGGCCAAACAGGGCTTGGGCCAAATTTCCAACCTCTTCATTAATACCCTTCTGTAGTAATTAAATACAGGACAGTGGTATTTGAGGGCCATATGGAAAAGTTTTAGCAAGTAAAACGTAACAATCAGAGATTAGTAAAATGCAGATTATTCTGTGGTAAAAATTGCTTCTCTTGGAAGGATATGTATTACCTGGCTAATTGTGTAAGTTAAGTGTCATTTTACATTCAAGGGCCAAACATCTTTTTGAACTAAGTTTATGTTTGGACTTTGGTACATTATCAGATGTAACATAGTGGGAGGGAGTTGCTGGAATTGAAGTTACTGCTTCAACCCGATTAAGTAACCTTTAATTCTGGGCATGTTTTTCTAATTTGCTATACTGAAAAACAACTTCACAGCGTCTAGGCCTGCACAGCAAATATGCCATACAGATTTATATACATATATATGTGTGTGTGTGTTATTTTTGAAATGAGAACTTGTATTTTTCTGGATGCCATATTTGGCAGACTGATGTATTCTTTCAGACTCCTTAGGATCTGAGCTCGGATCCCATGTCCAAATTCTTCTAGGCTGTACATGCAGCTCAGTGTTTTAAGCAAAATATTCAAGAGAAAAGGTTGCCCATCGCATTTTCAGTGAGAATAATCCTTAAACTAGATTGATTTTGAAAGATAATAACCAGATTCAAGGGTAGCCCTTCTGAGTACACAGAGGGGAGATTGACTACAGACCTAACAATGTGCACTGTTAACTAAAAATTCTATCTAGTTTTAAAAGTAGGTACAGTGAAACAGGGGAAGCGTGACTCGCTGACTTTAAAGCACTGAAACAGGGTAGACTCTCCATTAGAAAAACCCACACAGGACAAAGCAATTGCCAGAGATTTGCCCTGGCTGAGCTTCTGTCTAATTCTCCCATTAAGTTGGATGTCCCCCTTTTTAAAACTGGCACTTTGAAAGCTGTGACTTGAAGGACAGCCACGGCACTGTGCTTTCACCTGCATCCCACATTCATCATCTTTCAGTTAAACGAAATTAGTTCTTCTTTCCCAGAGATATTTATTTTCTTTGTCATAATTTGCATTCTAAGTCCATTATGAGTTGGAACCTTGTTTGAACCACCATTATAAGGCTTCTGACATGTGGAATATCTTCCAAGTCTCAGAGTGGATGGGGATACCACATAAGATTAAACAGGGAAGCAAAAAGCATGGGACTTGATCTCTTGAACACAGGTTTTGTTCTGACTCACATGGAAAATAAGAAAAAAAAAATTAGCTCAGAGTCTGGAATTCAGTTCAGTACATCATCATGTTATTCTGTTAGTTTGTGGAAACCAACTATGTTATTAGTCAGTCCCATATCATTTATATTACCATCTTGCAAGAGAAACATTCCCTGATTCAGACCTGATTCAGTCATTTCTCTAGGCATTCTGTGAGACAAGCCCAGTTTTATTTCCATAATACACAACCTTGTCACAGTCCAGCCCAGCAGCTAGAGATAAAAACACACTAAATCATTACAGCTAAGCTGCCCCGATGTGACAGACACAGTACTTGGAGTGTATTTTCCCAATAGACCTCCCTTTTCCTTTCCAAAGACTTTCTATAAAAACATGGTCTTAATAAATGCTATATGCTACTGATTTAACACCTCTTTTGCCTTTCCCTTTGGGGGCTCACACACACACACAAGCAAGCAGAACCTCATTGCAGATGTGACGGTTGAGGAACGCACACGAGCCACTTCTGAGAAGCCAAATCAATAAATAGGAATAATCAATAAATAGGAAGCTATTTCTATGTATCTTCTAAGAAATTCCACCTCGGGGGTTCTGATAACGTCAATAGAAATGGATACGTGAAACACCTCTGGATCGCTGAAGGGCTGGCTGAGCTTCACCAGGGAGAACTTTAGACACCACTTGGTCAATTTAGTTACCATTTGGTAAATTCTTGAAGCTAGGAACCATAAAGTTTTTCTCTCTTTCCTCATATCTCATGCAGATTTTTTGTGAGATGACCACCAAGTCATTTCTTAATTTTCTTCACCCCTTTCTATGACTTTTTTGCAATCTTATATAGGATCGTCACATCATCGGAACAGCAGGTTTTCCCAGGGCCTTTGCTGAAAGTTGCCAGAACCCAGGGGCTTCAATTAAAGTTGTCTATCAGCCATGACAGACAGTGATGTGAAAATCTAACGGCAGTCATGATTTTTCCTAACTCCAATCACCAAAACATTTGATTTCAGTCCTCCAATGTGCGGGAAGATGTGTCGCATAAATATTTGTCTTAGCTCTTGTCACTACTGATCTTACTGTTAGGAAACTCTTGCCTGATTTAAAGTCATCTGAGGTTGTTGGCTCGTTAATCCAGCGTAGGTGGCAGTAAATTTCATAGCTCTACAATATGTTGTGCTACAAATACTGGGTTCAATTTTAGTTAATACGCATTAAGCGAAAAATCACTACTGGCCGAGTGGACTTGTTTGCTCGTTAATTCTTGTGAACTGCAGTGTGATCTATCAAATCCTTTCTAAACAAAACAGTCCTCTTGGCTTCTGCTTTCTCCTTCTGTGGAATATTTCTCTTTTTTCCTACTTATTTTTGCCCTTCTTTGCATTTTTATATTTCTACTTCACCCAGTGATGTGCTGACAGTATTTTAGCTGGGACTCCCACAGATTTTTTCCTCTACAGCTCATCATACATCTTTTTACCACAAGCTCAGAAATGAGAAAACAAGGAAGAGCGAGGGATGGGGTAATTTGTTCATTTATTTTCCTATACAAGGAAAAAAAAAAGTTGTCTCAGAAGCAAGATCAAAGCAGCAGGGTGGTATCATGTGCCAAAAGAATGAACCAGTGCTTTCCTTCGGTAGTGAGGAATAACTTGAGCACAACTGAGTGCAGACTGGGAATGTCCTTGTAGGGAAGAGTCAGGGATGTCCTCTTCCCCCACGCTGGAGCATCACGAACCCTTCGTGTAATCCAGTGCATTCCAAAGGCAAAAGCCAAACCTTTCAGAAGTACTTCATGAAGTCCTGTGCGTGAGTCATCCCCGGTCGGGTTGGTTTGGCACCATCCAGAGAGGGAATGAATTCCAGCAAAGACATGGAAATCACATGGACGCTCCCGCAGTTTGGTGTGAGAATTTGAAGCAGTTGTTCACACTCCTTCCCTCAGCTACTGTTGGTCTGCGTTTAGGCAAAACACGAAAATAGTGTGGCACAGTTAGTGATGATATGACTCAATACGAGCTCAATACTCTGGCAGTTTATGCAATGCATGGGTCTGGCCTTGGACGTGAACATGCCTGTACTGTTGGTTGACCAAGTAGCGTCAACAATATTTCTCAGTCTTACTCTCTTAAAAAGCACTTATAGGTCCATAATGTGTTTTTCATTGAACAAATAAATAAAAATCTACCTTGCCCATTAATTAAGAGGATTATTTGCAATGCAGTGCCCATTTTTCATGTACTGCTGGTCATCTCTGCCCGTGATGTTGTTTCTGTTTAGTGGTGGCCTGATCTAAGCTTTGCAAACCAAAAGTGACCTGAAGAAGTATTTGAAACTTGGCACCCAGGTATCTGGTTGAGTGAGGCAAATGGGAATTCAGACTCTCTTTGCCCTCAGGTGACTGGTGGAAGCCATTTCTTTTCAGCAGGGCCTCTTAACATGGGTACAGCACTGCTCTTACACCAGGTCTCACGGCTTTCGGGTTAGAGCTGATCTACAGAGACAGAAGATACAAGGGAAAGAAATATTCAGTGGGTCTAGTGGACTTCAGGCTATTGCAAACCATTTCCTTTCTTCTGGAACTAAAGAGGGGTTATTAAAGTTGGTTGAGGTATCTGGACCTCAGCTTCAAACATCCGTCACTTCAAGAGAGGACGGCTAGGCGAAGACAGCTAAAGGTATTAGTTTCATGCAAATAAACTAAATTGGACGTTACTTTCCGATTTGGAGGACTCTGCATTGTGTTTGGAAAGTTTGGTGAGTTCCGCTTTCCTACGTTCAGGCCAATGATAGCAGCAACAGCAACAAAAGAATCTACTACGTTGATTTATTATAGATTATTTCCTAATCTTTTAATTT